AGGTGCGCATTGATATAAATTTTTATCTTTTAAGGGTGCAAATTAAGATTTTTTATCTTTAATGGTACAAATTAAAATTCGAACGATCTTTCAAGATGCAATTTGAGATTAACTTTATTTTTATTCAATCGGTAAATATATGTTTTCCTTCTTCGTCATGGAATTCCACAAGCTTAATCAAAGAAACAACATCGATATATTTTGACTCGTTTTTATAGTTTACACTTGCACGAATTAAGATAAGACTATTCTCCTTTAGCTTCTTTAGTCAATTCTAATTGTTCACTCTTATTTGACCGTTCCACTGGGGTATCTTCTTTAAGTGGAAGCCCTACGTTGCACTCTAGTGCAAGATAGTGGATCTGACCAGACCAATATATTCTGAAAGACTCAAAATGTCCATCGGATATACTTGTTTATGATGGCCAGAAAAGAGATATTCAAAAATTTCGATTTCCTGAATAAAATATTCAAAAAATTCATCGAAATCACTGGCTTCAGAGTCAATGTTGGCTTACTAAATACTAACTCGAGAACTTCATGTTTCATAAGAGTCTCAAAACGAGTCATATCCTAACTTAGGCAGTTCAAGGAAGAATAAAGGTATTAGGAAAAGAAATTTCTCAAAGATCTAAGAACCAATATCTTTTATATTCCAAAATAAAATAAAAAGAAAGTATTTTCAAAACTAAAAGAATAAAGCTAAATTTGATTTGGATGTGAAATAATTAGGGTTGTCAAAATATTATACGATTTGTTATCACGACACAAAAATAGAGAATTTTAATATTTTTTAAGTCACATGTTTGTAAACAAGTGACCCGACACGACCCGATTTATAAATTAATTGGATATGGGTAAAACTATACAAATTCACAAATCTGCTAGAACCCGCCACAAATTCACCTCAACTTATAAGATTGACAGGTTTAGAAATAACAAAAGGTCTTGCCTCTGGGCCGAAGGTTGATTGGCTAAAAAAATTTGTGAAAATTGAGGCTGAGTTCTCCTAAATGGACTTATAATTACTTGATGAGTCCGTCAAGTAAATTTACTTAGCAATAAATTCATTTTTTATCTTACTAATATATACTTAAGTCCACTATTTTTTTTAAATCCAAAAAATAACCTTAACAGGATTATTTTGTTCAATTATAGAAATTTTAAAGACCTTGAAAGTAACTTTAAATTAATTTCTTAAATTAGAAATTAGTATCTCTTAATTCACTTCTAAATTGATATTTAAATTTATACCCTCTCTCTCTCTCACACACACACACATTAGAAGAAGATCATCACTACAGTATAATAAATTTTTCTTCTTAGATATCATTTCTTCCTTCGTAGCATCAAAATCAGTAAGATTTGAAAAATCATCAACAACTATCATATTTTCTACTGCGTTCTAATCATTATGAACTTCTATGTCTTTGGTTTTCGAAAAAAAAAATGTTGAAAAATTTGCTCAATGTGTTATTAGTTTGATCCCCAATTTTATTTTTATTTTTTTTGATAAATAATTCTCAAATTTTTTCAATGTTTCATGTTATTACGTTTTTTGTTGACTATGTTGCTATTTTTTCTAATTGACCATGTTACTATTTTTTTTTTATGTTACTGTTTTTTATTGAGCATGTTATTGCTTTTTCAGTATTACTTTTTTGGATGCTGAAGAATTAGAGGCATTTTCATCTGGTTATTGATTTAAATGCTATTATTTATTTTCAATTTTGTTATGTTCTATATTACTATTTTTTTTTGTTAAGCAAATTACTATTTTTGTTAAGCATGTTACTATTTTGTTAAATATGTTACTATTTTTATTTTTTTAAAATATTAATATTGAATGTTATTATTTTTTTATATTTAAATGTTACTATTTTTTTGTGTTTAAATAATAACTTTTTTTTGTATTTGTAGTCATAACTTATATATGGATATAGATAGATAGAAGAGAGAAAAAAATTTTAAATTTTTTTTATCTTCTTTGTATTTATAGTTTGACTTTTAAAATTTAAGAATTTTTAATTTTTACTAGAAACAAAAAACGAAGAAGTTTTGTTAACGAAATTAAATTTAAATAAGTCAAAAAAAAAAGTCAGAAAAAATTCAAACTAAAATATGTAATGACAAAGCGCATCAAATGGATGGGTCACCTACTCACCCCTGTTTCACTCTCAACAGTTCATCTCAAAAAACCTAATCCCTAACAATCCAATCGGGCTTAGGGCATAGCTTGATGCTTTTAGAGCTGACTTGGAGTTGCAGAAACTTGTAGAGAGAGAATTTCTCAGGTCTGAAAATCTTTGAAGCTCTCCATATTTGAGATGCAACTAATTTTCAATTTGCCAAGAAGATGACTCTGCGTATCTGCAGAAGTCTTACCTCAGTCGCTCTCAAAACCCCTATTTCTTTCTCTTTCTCTTTCTCTCTCTTCTTCTTCTCCTACTCTACACGAAAACAACCCAAATGCACCGCTTCAGTCGCTGATTACTTGCTGCATAAACACCAATTCTCTCCTGAAACTGCCTCAAAAGTCTCCTCTGGGTTAACTTGTGTAAAAAACCCAGAAAAGTCTGATTCTATACTGTTCTTTCTCAAAGCGAGTGGGTTTTCGAAGACCCATCTCGAAAATGTTGTAGTAAAATGGCCCAATGTTCTCTCTGCTAATCTTGATCGTACCATCAAGCCCAAAATCCAGGTTTTCCAAGACTTGGGCTTTTCTCCGACAGAAACTGCCGACATAATTTCGACGGATCCTTGGATTTTGAGGCGTAGCGCTGTTAATCGGCTCGGGCCATCCCTTTTACTGTTGAGAAATGTGTTTGATTCAAGTTTAGATGTGTCTAAGGTCTTAAAGATTTCTGGGTGGTTTTTGAATCATGATTTGGAGAAGAGTATGATACCCAATATTGAATTGATGAAGAGTCTTGGAATTAAATCTTCTCAGATAATGAGACATTTGTACAACTTTCCAAGGCTTTTCTTTTATAAACCAGAAAGTATTAAGGAATTCGTTAAGAGGGTTGATGAAATGGGTTTTGATATGAACTCCAAGATGTTTCTCCATGCGATTCGAGCTGTGAGCTCAATGACAGTTAAGAATTGGGAACTTAAATTGGAGCTTTTTCGGAGTTTAGGGTTTTCAGATGTTGATATACGATCTGTGTTTCAGAGGCAGCCTCACGTTTTTACCGTATCTCGAAGGAAAATTAAGGATGTAACACAGCTTCTGCTNCTGAAAGACTCAAAATGTCCATCGGATATACTTGTTTATGATGGCCAGAAAAGAGATATTCAAAAATTTCGATTTCCTGAATAAAATATTCAAAAAATTCATCGAAATCACTGGCTTCAGAGTCAATGTTGGCTTACTAAATACTAACTCGAGAACTTCATGTTTCATAAGAGTCTCAAAACGAGTCATATCCTAACTTAGGCAGTTCAAGGAAGAATAAAGGTATTAGGAAAAGAAATTTCTCAAAGATCTAAGAACCAATATCTTTTATATTCCAAAATAAAATAAAAAGAAAGTATTTTCAAAACTAAAAGAATAAAGCTAAATTTGATTTGGATGTGAAATAATTAGGGTTGTCAAAATATTATACGGTTTGTTATCACGACACAAAAATAGAGAATTTTAATATTTTTTAAGTCACATGTTTGTAAACAAGTGACCCGACACGACCCGATTTATAAATTAATTGGATATGGGTAAAACTATACAAATTCACAAATCTGCTAGAACCCGCCACAAATTCACCTCAACTTATAAGATTGACAGGTTTAGAAATAACAAAAGGTCTTGCCTCTGGGCCGAAGGTTGATTGGCTAAAAAAATTTGTGAAAATTGAGGCTGAGTTCTCCTAAATGGACTTATAATTACTTGATGAGTCCGTCAAGTAAATTTACTTAGCAATAAATTCATTTTTTATCTTACTAATATATACTTAAGTCCACTATTTTTTTTAAATCCAAAAAATAACCTTAACAGGATTATTTTGTTCAATTATAGAAATTTTAAAGACCTTGAAAGTAACTTTAAATTAATTTCTTAAATTAGAAATTAGTATCTCTTAATTCACTTCTAAATTGATATTTAAATTTATACCCTCTCTCTCTCTCACACACACACACATTAGAAGAAGATCATCACTACAGTATAATAAATTTTTCTTCTTAGATATCATTTCTTCCTTCGTAGCATCAAAATCAGTAAGATTTGAAAAATCATCAACAACTATCATATTTTCTACTGCGTTCTAATCATTATGAACTTCTATGTCTTTGGTTTTCGAAAAAAAAAATGTTGAAAAATTTGCTCAATGTGTTATTAGTTTGATCCCCAATTTTATTTTTATTTTTTTTGATAAATAATTCTCAAATTTTTTCAATGTTTCATGTTATTACGTTTTTTGTTGACTATGTTGCTATTTTTTCTAATTGACCATGTTACTATTTTTTTTTTATGTTACTGTTTTTTATTGAGCATGTTATTGCTTTTTCAGTATTACTTTTTTGGATGCTGAAGAATTAGAGGCATTTTCATCTGGTTATTGATTTAAATGCTATTATTTATTTTCAATTTTGTTATGTTCTATATTACTATTTTTTTTTGTTAAGCAAATTACTATTTTTGTTAAGCATGTTACTATTTTGTTAAATATGTTACTATTTTTATTTTTTTAAAATATTAATATTGAATGTTATTATTTTTTTATATTTAAATGTTACTATTTTTTTGTGTTTAAATAATAACTTTTTTTTGTATTTGTAGTCATAACTTATATATGGATATAGATAGATAGAAGAGAGAAAAAAATTTTAAATTTTTTTTATCTTCTTTGTATTTATAGTTTGACTTTTAAAATTTAAGAATTTTTAATTTTTACTAGAAACAAAAAACGAAGAAGTTTTGTTAACGAAATTAAATTTAAATAAGTCAAAAAAAAAAGTCAGAAAAAATTCAAACTAAAATATGTAATGACAAAGCGCATCAAATGGATGGGTCACCTACTCACCCCTGTTTCACTCTCAACAGTTCATCTCAAAAAACCTAATCCCTAACAATCCAATCGGGCTTAGGGCATAGCTTGATGCTTTTAGAGCTGACTTGGAGTTGCAGAAACTTGTAGAGAGAGAATTTCTCAGGTCTGAAAATCTTTGAAGCTCTCCATATTTGAGATGCAACTAATTTTCAATTTGCCAAGAAGATGACTCTGCGTATCTGCAGAAGTCTTACCTCAGTCGCTCTCAAAACCCCTATTTCTTTCTCTTTCTCTTTCTCTCTCTTCTTCTTCTCCTACTCTACACGAAAACAACCCAAATGCACCGCTTCAGTCGCTGATTACTTGCTGCATAAACACCAATTCTCTCCTGAAACTGCCTCAAAAGTCTCCTCTGGGTTAACTTGTGTAAAAAACCCAGAAAAGTCTGATTCTATACTGTTCTTTCTCAAAGCGAGTGGGTTTTCGAAGACCCATCTCGAAAATGTTGTAGTAAAATGGCCCAATGTTCTCTCTGCTAATCTTGATCGTACCATCAAGCCCAAAATCCAGGTTTTCCAAGACTTGGGCTTTTCTCCGACAGAAACTGCCGACATAATTTCGACGGATCCTTGGATTTTGAGGCGTAGCGCTGTTAATCGGCTCGGGCCATCCCTTTTACTGTTGAGAAATGTGTTTGATTCAAGTTTAGATGTGTCTAAGGTCTTAAAGATTTCTGGGTGGTTTTTGAATCATGATTTGGAGAAGAGTATGATACCCAATATTGAATTGATGAAGAGTCTTGGAATTAAATCTTCTCAGATAATGAGACATTTGTACAACTTTCCAAGGCTTTTCTTTTATAAACCAGAAAGTATTAAGGAATTCGTTAAGAGGGTTGATGAAATGGGTTTTGATATGAACTCCAAGATGTTTCTCCATGCGATTCGAGCTGTGAGCTCAATGACAGTTAAGAATTGGGAACTTAAATTGGAGCTTTTTCGGAGTTTAGGGTTTTCAGATGTTGATATACGATCTGTGTTTCAGAGGCAGCCTCACGTTTTTACCGTATCTCGAAGGAAAATTAAGGATGTAACACAGCTTCTGCTTGCCACCGGGAAATTTGATATCTCATTTTTTGTTAACCACCCGGATTCGCTTTGTTACAGTATTGAAAACAGGTTAAAACCACGGCTACGAGTTGTGANATTTCGATTTCCTGAATAAAATATTCAAAAAATTCATCGAAATCACTGGCTTCAGAGTCAATGTTGGCTTACTAAATACTAACTCGAGAACTTCATGTTTCATAAGAGTCTCAAAACGAGTCATATCCTAACTTAGGCAGTTCAAGGAAGAATAAAGGTATTAGGAAAAGAAATTTCTCAAAGATCTAAGAACCAATATCTTTTATATTCCAAAATAAAATAAAAAGAAAGTATTTTCAAAACTAAAAGAATAAAGCTAAATTTGATTTGGATGTGAAATAATTAGGGTTGTCAAAATATTATACGATTTGTTAANGTCGATAATCCCCAATTATATCCACTTGACAGTTGACACTCTTATTTAGGTTCCAGTGGCTTTTCATGAATTAACTCTTGTAATTGCGTGTGTAGACAGACTTTTTCTGCAGGTAATATGATTTTTTTCCATTCGATGTATGTAATGTACGNTAAACAAGTGACCCGACACGACCCGATTTATAAATTAATTGGATATGGGTAAAACTATACAAATTCACAAATCTGCTAGAACCCGCCACAAATTCACCTCAACTTATAAGATTGACAGGTTTAGAAATAACAAAAGGTCTTGCCTCTGGGCCGAAGGTTGATTGGCTAAAAAAATTTGTGAAAATTGAGGCTGAGTTCTCCTAAATGGACTTATAATTACTTGATGAGTCCGTCAAGTAAATTTACTTAGCAATAAATTCATTTTTTATCTTACTAATATATACTTAAGTCCACTATTTTTTTTAAATCCAAAAAATAACCTTAACAGGATTATTTTGTTCAATTATAGAAATTTTAAAGACCTTGAAAGTAACTTTAAATTAATTTCTTAAATTAGNTTGCTGCTCCAGTTTTAATTCTTGTGCACCCAGTACCCACAGCCAATTTCAAATAACCCCTTCCCCCCCAAAAAAAAAATTTCTGTCGAGGCCTCTATTTCAAATACACACATTCTCTTGGGGTGGTGGGGGCTTGAGTCTTTAGTTGAACATTGTGATTTAAGTTATGAGACCTAGTTTCATGTTTGAGATTCCCAAATTGAACCNTCAATTATAGAAATTTTAAAGACCTTGAAAGTAACTTTAAATTAATTTCTTAAATTAGAAATTAGTATCTCTTAATTCACTTCTAAATTGATATTTAAATTTATACCCTCTCTCTCTCTCACACACACACACATTAGAAGAAGATCATCACTACAGTATAATAAATTTTTCTTCTTAGATATCATTTCTTCCTTCGTAGCATCAAAATCAGTAAGATTTGAAAAATCATCAACAACTATCATATTTTCTACTGCGTTCTAATCATTATGAACTTCTATGTCTTTGGTTTTCGAAAAAAAAAATGTTGAAAAATTTGCTCAATGTGTTATTAGTTTGATCCCCAATTTTATTTTTATTTTTTTTGATAAATAATTCTCAAATTTTTTCAATGTTTCATGTTATTACGTTTTTTGTTGACTATGTTGCTATTTTTTCTAATTGACCATGTTACTATTTTTTTTTTATGTTACTGTTTTTTATTGAGCATGTTATTGCTTTTTCAGTATTACTTTTTTGGATGCTGAAGAATTAGAGGCATTTTCATCTGGTTATTGATTTAAATGCTATTATTTATTTTCAATTTTGTTATGTTCTATATTACTATTTTTTTTTGTTAAGCAAATTACTATTTTTGTTAAGCATGTTACTATTTTGTTAAATATGTTACTATTTTTATTTTTTTAAAATATTAATATTGAATGTTATTATTTTTTTATATTTAAATGTTACTATTTTTTTGTGTTTAAATAATAACTTTTTTTTGTATTTGTAGTCATAACTTATATATGGATATAGATAGATAGAAGAGAGAAAAAAATTTTAAATTTTTTTTATCTTCTTTGTATTTATAGTTTGACTTTTAAAATTTAAGAATTTTTAATTTTTACTAGAAACAAAAAACGAAGAAGTTTTGTTAACGAAATTAAATTTAAATAAGTCAAAAAAAAAAGTCAGAAAAAATTCAAACTAAAATATGTAATGACAAAGCGCATCAAATGGATGGGTCACCTACTCACCCCTGTTTCACTCTCAACAGTTCATCGCAAAAAACCTAATCCCTAACAATCCAATCGGGCTTAGGGCATAGCTTGATGCTTTTAGAGCTGACTTGGAGTTGCAGAAACTTGTAGAGAGAGAATTTCTCAGGTCTGAAAATCTTTGAAGCTCTCCATATTTGAGATGCAACTAATTTTCAATTTGCCAAGAAGATGACTCTGCGTATCTGCAGAAGTCTTACCTCAGTCGCTCTCAAAACCCCTATTTCTTTCTCTTTCTCTCTCCTCGTCCTCTCCTACTCTACACGAAAACAACCCAAATGCACCGCTTCAGTCGCTGATTACTTGGTGTATAAACACCAATTCGCTCCTGAAACTGCCTCAAAAGTCTCCTCTGTGTTAACTTGTGTAAAAAACCCAGAAAAGTCTGATTCTATACTGTTCTTTCTCAAAGCGAGTGGGTTTTCGAAGACCCATCTCGAAAATGTTGTAGTAAAATGGCCCAATGTTCTCTCTGCTAATCTTGATCGTACCATCAAGCCCAAAATCCAGATTTTCCAAGACTTGGGCTTTTCTCCGACGGAAACTGCCGAGTTAATTTCGATGCATCCTTGGATTTTGACGCGTAGCGCGGTCAATCAGCTTGGGCCGTCCCTTTTGGTATTGAGAAATGTATTTGATTCAAGTTTAGATGTGTCTAAGGTCTTAAAGATTTCTGTGTGGTTTTTGAATCATGATTTGGAGAAGAGTATGATACCCAGTATTGCATTGATGAAGAGTCTTGGAATTAATTCTTCTCAGCTAATGAGATATGTGTACAGCTTTCCGAGGTTTTTCTTGTATAAACCGGAAAGAATTAAGGAATTCGTTAAGAGGGTTGATGAAATGGGTTTTAATAGGAACTCCAAGATGTTTCTCCATGCGATTCGAACTGTGAGCTCAATGACAATTAAGAATTGGGAACTTAAATTGGAGCTTTTTCGGAGTTTAGGGTTCTCAGATGTTGATATACTATCCGTGTTTCAGAGGAAACCTCAGATTTTTGCCGTATCTCAAAGGAAAATTAAGGATGTAACTAAGCTTCTGCTTGCCACTGGGAAATTTGATATCTCATTTATTGTTAACCACCCAGAATTGCTTTGTTGCAGTATTGAAAACAGGTTAAAACCACGGCTACGAGTTGTGGAAGTTTTGGAAAATAAGAAATTGCTTCCAAAAAAGCCGAGTTTGACATCGCTACACAAGATCACTGATGAGAAGTTCTTTGAAAAGTTTGTGCTCCCTTATTCAAATGAAGTTGGTGAAATATACATAGCTAGAGAGTTCTCATAGATAATGGAAATGTGTGCTCTTGGTCAATAATCCCCAATTTTATCCACTTGACAGTTGACACTCTTATTTAGGTTCCAGTGGCTTTTCATGAATTAACTCTTGTAAGTGCGTGTGTAGACAGACTTTTTCTGCAGGTAATATGATTTTTTTCCATTCGATGTATGTAATGTACTTCACTGAGAAACTGTGATTAGTTATCCAGATTGATACTGCATACGTGCTCTTCAGATGAATTGAAATAACACCATTTACACTCAGACATTTCTGATGTATTAATTTGCTGCTCCAGTTTTAATTCTTGTGCACCCAGTACCCACAGCCAATTTCAAATAACTCCTTCCCCCCCAAAAAAAAATTCTCTGTCGAGGCCTCTATTTCAAATACACACATTCTCTTGGGGTAGTGGGGGCTTGAGTCTTTAGTTGAACATTGTGATTTAAGTTATGAAACCTAGTTTCATGTTTGAGATTCCCAAATTGAACCTTTTCAAATTGATTGGGCATTTAATTTCATGTTAGGGATCCTATAGGTTGGAAGTATTGAATTGCAACAGTTTATAACTTGCCCCCACCTACCTTGTTGGTTTTGTTATTGGAAGACAACAAGGCTATCTTACATCAAACCAATGCTCATTGCTTGTGCCACTCCTGCATTCTGGTTCGTCATTTCAAAATCTGGTTTTTTTGAGCTGCTCCCATCTTGCAAGATCTTGCAACTGTACTTTCAAAATGCTTCCAGATAGGATGATGGGTACCTTTCCTGGTGTTTATTAAATTATCTCTCAGTTATCAACTGGCAAGGTGGGGCGTGAATATCTTGGCACAGTACCAGTTGTTGATTTCTGTAAACTGTCTTGCCCCCTCTGAAGGATGCTCAGGGCTGGAACTCCTTATCCCAAGCACGGGCCAACGCTTTATGTTTCTATCAAGAGAAGTAAGGTGTTGGATCAACATTGCTAGTTTATTTTTGGAGTCAGGCATGAATGTTAAAGCTTATAGAAGGTAAGGAATCAAAGAAATCTTAATCAGTGGTCTTTGTCTCCCATTAATATGTGGCATCGACTGTGTTGCCTTTCTTGAGGTGGATGTTACCCAATGCTCTCTCGTGTCCAGGATTTGCCCATTGTCTGCTAAGCAATCTGCACATCTGGTGCCTGCTCTAAATGTGTGCATTACTTCCTTTGCCAAGAACGACCCAAAAGAGCATTAATGTCTTGGATCGGGTTTATGCTTGATCAGATTCAATATCTTCCATTTCAAAGAGCAATAAGTTCAGTATATTTAACACATTCATATGTTGCTGTGTCTTCGCCATGTCTATATCCTACCATTTTAGATTTTCCATAGGGGCTCACGCATGTTGTGTGTGCTGGTTTCTTGAAAACTAATCCTATTGCCTTTATTTAGTAAATCTAGTTGGCAGTTGACCAGTTAAACAATCTATTAATAGCCCTTTGATTAGAAAATCCCTCCTCCACCATCTTCTCTCTGTGTTCAACCTCCCATTGTTATGCAACCACCTCTTCCCATGCAAGCCACCACATTTGTCCCCCAATTGCCCTTACCACAATCCCTCTCCTTCACTCTTTCATGGAGGAGCGGGAACCACCTCCCGGCGGTGGAAACCATAACCCCTTGACCGAAAAACCAACCATTTCACCTACAGAGAATGCAAACCCTAACCATTTACCCAAAACATCACAGCCTGTCTTTGGTTCTGCAACATTTGTCGTCCAGATTCCCAAAGATCAAATTTATCGCGTCCCACCACCTGAACATGCTGTGCTGGCCCAACGCCGAAATCTGCCTATCCAAAAGAGGCGGCGTTGTAACTGTTTGTGTTTAGCCATCATTGCAGTTGTCATTGTCCTAGTTGTCCTGATAGGAGGCATAACAGCTTTTTTTCTTAAGCATGCCAATCCTTCATTTAGCATTGAAAATTTCCTTGTCAGGAATCCACCGGATCATCATCGTTGGCAACATCTGGAGTATAACATCTTGTTGAAAGCAGAGAACCCGAATCAGCACACAAGCATTTTCTATGAGCAGGATGGTGATGCATCCCTCTCCTTTAAGCAAAAAGAAATTGCAGCAGGAAAATATCCACCTTTCAATCAAAGCCCAAAGAATTCTAATACATTTAAGATAGTTCTACATGGTTCGAACACTGCATTGCCTAAAGAGATTGACAAGGGCTTGAATAGCACAAATTCAAAAGCACGCATCTCTTTATCTCTATGGATGAATGCCTCGGTGAAACTGGAAACTGGGGCATTGAAAACTGGAAGTAAGAAAATTTATGTTGATTGCAGTTTGACAGTAGATGCTCTGTCAAAAAGTGCTCGTGTACTTTCTCAGGAATGTCATACCATGGGCCAACTCTGAGCAAGATATCGGCAGACTCAGCAACATATTGATGGCCGTGGTGGTAAATTTTGGAAGTTTAAAAACCATTTTTTTTCAGAATTTCTCTTATTTTCTTCCATAGACTAGTTAAATGAGGAATGATTGAGGAATATATATTTTTTCCAATCTTTAATGTTAATGGCATGCTGGTGGATCGAAATGTGGGCATGGGCATATTACTTTTTTTATGCTTTTGTTCTTGAATTCTGACCCAGTTGTTGTAAATTGTGTTATTTTTTTTCCAAAAAGGGCAAAGGAGAATTACATAGTTTGCTGCATATTATGTATCTGAAAATTGCTTCCTCTCTCTCTCTCTCTCTCTCTCGATCAAAATGATGGGTTTGTAATTGTCTGACTTGCAATTTAGTTCAGGTAAATGTTAAATTCTGGAAAACTTGATTGAATTCGTCTTGCCAACTCATTTCGACCCTCATCTTTCAAATTATGGTCACTGATCTCAGCTGAATGACACCATACTTGATGTTGTCCTTAACATTGTGAATTTACTGGTTGTAGAACTTTCCAATGCAATTGCCTGTTGATCATGGGCATCAAATATTCCAGAGATTCGGAGTGGTGCCACTGAAGAAGAACCAAACAAAGCAACAACCCCATTATTCCAGCACTTCTTGTTTGGTATTGGTCCCTCAGCCAAGATTATCCATGGCAGTTGAATTTATGATGCCTTTTATAGTACGTACGTTGCACGTAGAGTATTATAAATATAATATATCATATATTACAACATTGCACCATTTTCGTACCAAAAAAAAAAAAAAGTGTCCATAAGCTCGGAATGGTCATAAAAAATCTTCTAGCGTTTCCTCAAACTCGAAATGGTCATACTCAAGCAAAAGATAAGTATAAAAAAATATTGATAACTCCTATATGAAAAATTTATTGAGAACTCCTATAATTTACCCTAACTTCAATGTGCAAGAGTGAAACATTAGCAACCAGTTTGTATGTATTGGTCACTATTGTTATTCCATCTTGAAATTCAAGGTGTAATGAAATATGTATAGGTCAATGAAGATTTTCCATAAAAAAAAAACTTAGTATATGTTTGATTATATTTGTCCTCTCAGCTTTCCATAGTAAATCAAATATTCATCATAGTTTGTAACCATAATCGGAAAATTACTTAAGGTATTTAAAATCTACATATGAAGAATAATTAGAGGCGATCTTCCCCTTGCATGTCCAAAGCAAAAATGTATCCTATAAATGGTTGTAACTGAAGAATTCGATATATATCGTATAAAGACGTACTCACAAAAATGAAAATGGTGAATTACTTCAACATATTTTTCTTTGGTAAGTGAAGTTCTTCAACATTGGTTTGGACCATAGTTAGAAACCTCTGCAAGAAACTATTGAGGTGATATAACTATAAAAAGAGCTTGTGAGAGCATCAATTATAGGAGGATATATAACATTATCTAAAGCAAACTTAGTAGATAAAACTAAAATGTCTTTTAATAAATGAAGATTATTCGGAGAGTTATATACGTGGAATTGAAACAAAGCAGATAATAGCCTTGTAATCATCCGAGTTATGAAAGAAACCGAAGTAAAAACACATACTAAACCCAACCACGCTATAAAGGGGGACCATATGTGAATCTGGAAACCGTGAATCAAGAGAGAAAGAAAGAGCAACCCTCCAACAGCTACCGTACATGCTCTCCACAGGTAAATGATATAAGTATCAAGTATTATCGGAGCAAGNGTCTTTCAAATTATGGTCACTGATCTCAGCTGAATGACACCATACTTGATGTTGTCCTTAACATTGTGAATTTACTGGTTGTAGAACTTTCCAATGCAATTGCCTGTTGATCATGGGCATCAAATATTCCAGAGATTCGGAGTGGTGCCACTGAAGAAGAACCAAACAAAGCAACAACCCCATTATTCCAGCACTTCTTGTTTGGTATTGGTCCCTCAACCAAGATTATCCATGGCAGTTGAATTTATGATGCCTTTTATAGTACTAGTTAGTGCCCACGTACGTTGCACGTAGAGTATTATAAATATAATATATCATATATTACAACATTGCACCATTTTCGTACCAAAAAAAAAAAAAAGTGTCCATAAGCTCGGAATGGTCATAAAAAATCTTCTAGCGTTTCCTCAAACTCGAAATGGTCATACTCAAGCAAAAGATAAGTATAAAAAAATATTGATAACTCCTATATGAAAAATTTATTGAGAACTCCTATAATTTACCCTAACTTCAATGTGCAAGAGTGAAACATTAGCAACCAGTTTGTATGTATTGGTCACTATTGTTATTCCATCTTGAAATTCAAGGTGTAATGAAATATGTATAGGTCAATGAAGATTTTCCATAAAAAAAAAACTTAGTATATGTTTGATTATATTTGTCCTCTCAGCTTTCCATAGTAAATCAAATATTCATCATAGTTTGTAACCATAATCGGAAAATTACTTAAGGTCTTTAAAATCTACATATGAAGAATAATTAGAGGCGATCTTCCCCTTGCATGTCCAAAGCAAAAATGTATCCTATAAATGGTTGTAACTGAAGAATTCGATATATATCGTATAAAGACGTACTCACAAAAATGAAAATGGTGAATTACTTCAACATATTTTTCTTTGGTAAGTGAAGTTCTTCAACATTGGTTTGGACCATAGTTAGAAACCTCTGCAAGAAACTATTGAGGTGATATAACTATAAAAAGAGCTTGTGAGAGCATCAATTATAGGAGGATATATAACATCATCTAAAGCAAACTTATTAGATAAAACTAAAATGTCTTTTAATAAATGAAGATTATTCGGAGAGTTATATACGTGGAATTGAAACAAAGCAAATAATAGCCTTGTAATCATCTGAGTTATGAATNTTGCATGTCCAAAGCAAAAATGTATCCTATAAATGGTTGTAACTGAAGAATTCGATATATATCGTATAAAGACGTACTCACAAAAATGAAAATGGTGAATTACTTCAACATATTTTTCTTTGGTAAGTGAAGTTCTTCAACATTGGTTTGGACCATAGTTAGAAACCTCTGCAAGAAACTATTGAGGTGATATAACTATAAAAAGAGCTTGTGAGAGCATCAATTATAGGAGGATATATAACATTATCTAAAGCAAACTTAGTAGATAAAACTAAAATGTCTTTTAATAAATGAAGATTATTCGGAGAGTTATATACGTGGAATTGAAACAAAGCAGATAATAGCCTTGTAATCATCCGAGTTATGAAAGAAACCGAAGTAAAAACACATACTAAACCCAACCACGCTATAAAGGGGGACCATATGTGAATCTGGAAACCGTGAATCAAGAGAGAAAGAAAGAGCAACCCTCCAACAGCTACCGTACATGCTCTCCACAGGTAAATGATATAAGTATCAAGTATTATCGGAGCAAGTTGTTTAGTTCTCTCTAGGTAAATGATACTAGTATCAAGTATCATCGGAGCAAGTTATTGAGCACCGCAACCCACATTCCCTGTAGAGAAATGTCACAGTGTTATTCTTGGTGCTTGTTTCCATTTAATGGTTAGGAGGAGGAAACACTGGGATCATGGAGCAGAATTGGGTGCTATCAGTGGCTCAAGTCGAGCCCATGACAACATCTTGGCTACACCTAGAAGAACCCTCCTAAAAAGAATATAGATTTCAATTAAGCATGTGTACAAAGACGGCCTATAATACTATCTACGTCGATCAGTCGATGGTTGAACACCAGAAAAACAATTTACTGTTTATTATTAAATGTAGTTTGATGTCAGCCAATCATTATCTCTTGCAATGGGAGGGGGGGATCTGAAAAATATGAATATTAGCGTTTCAACCTAAATAAAACTTATAAATAAATTCAAACTATCCTTGCCCGGCAGATTTCAAATTTCCCCCAGACGCAACATATAAGTGCAATGTGCCACAGATGACGACACATTTACATTATGATCAAGAAAGAACTGTACACAGTCTAAATACCCATGCATTGCTAGTATAGTGTAACGCCCCGTTTCCGGGATGCGTTACTTCATTAAATCAATCGATCGATAATAAACTACAAATAAATTTTCGAATACAGGGCCAGAGTTCTAATTGTCTCAATAAATTTATAATCATAATTTTGATCTTCAAATACCAATAAAAATAATATCCTTAATATAAAACGATTATGTTCAAATTATATATCACCCCAATAAACCTACAAAGTTATAAATTTGAAATTTTCTCATATCTCCACTCTGGTCCTTCCCTGAGAAGTTATATATAACCACAATAAATTCACAAAGTTAAAAATTATATCAAGATTCGTCCGTCTTCGATTCCTCAAATATCAACTTTAGTCCTTCACTTCAAGATAATCCTAAAAAATATTAAAAGCGAAGAAGTATACAATATGACAAGAAACAATATGTTCAACGAGAAAAATATGAATGATTAAATACCACATAATTCAGATGATAAGAGTCATAGATAACGAAATCAAGAATCACATTCGACAGGCCACATAGCTCAACTGCTATCAAACATAGCCTCATACTCGGTTCCTCTTTGTGACATGACAAGTGATACTTGAGAATCGAATTATTACACGCCGCAGGGCTGTAATCACAATCGCACCCCGCAGAGGCTATAATCACATGTCACCAATTCTGCCTCAAGTACACTTCGTACATGTACCAATAAATTCCAAATTATTTAACTCAATGTACAGATCAACCGATAAAATTGTCAGAATTTCGAATTAATCAGAATAATCAATAGGAATACAAATATCAGATAATCAAATAACATTTTTTGCAAAGAGATTTAAAATACATTAGCATATTGTATACTACGTACCTCAAAATTATTAATATAGATAAGAAATTCGAATTATCCCGAACAAGACACTTCAATTTGGTAATGATCAAAAGTAAAATTCACTATTAAATTTTTGACCCAAAAATCTTATAAATTTTCGTCTCTCTCTCT